AGTTTGTCATTCATATCGTCCACTTCATTGCAATATTCTAGGCACTGAAAATGATTTTGTAACTCGAGCTCAAATTTTTCGAGACTTTAAGAGATCGTTTTTAAGGTGCTGGAGATCCATTCTAATCTTGCTTAGACTGACGTCCGGGATATCATCGGAATAGTGTCGGATAAGACTTGCTCTTGGATCGTTACTCACACTTGCGTGTGGCTCCAACGATGATGTGTATAGCTGCCCATAGAACCTCTCAATCTCTCAAAAAATCTCAGGTGTCCCGGAAACGATGCTGCCACACTCAGTCTTCAGCTTTGACAGTTGGCTCTTTCTGGCAGACAGATCTCTGGCAAAGACTTTGGAGCCCTGGTTCCGCTCGATCGCTTCTTTAATACGAGCAGTATTAAAGTTGCGTAAGTCTCGCCGCATGCATTTGGAGATCTGTTCAATTGCATGCGGCGTTTGTGTTCAGTTGCCTGTATGCTGTCAAATCTGTTGACGACTGCAGCCTCATCTCCCGTCTAACAGCCATGAGAATAAGAGTGTGATCGGAGAGTTTTTGTGTTCTTCTGTGGCGGGTCTTGCAGAACTTAGCTCCGACCGCATGTACAGTTTTCACGAGTTTGTCATTCATATCGTCCACTGCATTGCAATCTTGTAGGCACTGAAAGCATGTTTCGTAACTCGAGCTCAAAGTTTTCGAGACTCTGGATTTGAGCACGATATGGACGGAGCGTTGACTTCATTAGACGTGACTTCTCCAACTTCACGTTTAGGTTTAGTTTGTTTCTCACTATTTAGTGATTGCTGCCAGTTTTCTCCCTTGCGATCACTGAGACATCACTGAACAATTGTTATGTGTTGTGCTCGACCAGGTCCACTTTCTGCAGGGCCGTTTTTGGAAGAAAGAGTTCATCATAAAAGTCACTCTTTCTCCATAATGTTGGCCAGCTACTGGTTTCTTGGGTTTCGTTGCCCTATTCCGAACTTCCTTACAGCTCACCGTTCACTCTTGTGACTAGAATTGCGTTAAAGTCTCCTACCACACAGTGAGTTTTTGAGGAATGCATGACTTTAGAGATATATCATACATTTTCTCCACCTCATCATCGGACTGTGCCGAAGTTGGTGCATAAATCTGTTTGGCCTTTAGAGAATACCGTCTGGTGAATCTGAGTATAAGGTACTCAAACCTCGACTTGTGGACGATAAATCCAACAACTCGTTGAGACAGATGGTCGCCCTCATGGTGATGGAACAAGTTGCTGGATTTGAGGTATACCGTGTCTTTACCCTCTCTTCGGACCTCAGATAATCCTATAATATCCCAGCGCAACTTGTCTATCTCTTCTTAAAGCTTCAGGATCTTCTGGTCATTCCTCAGGGTGGACGCAGTATATGTTGCCAGGTCGATTCGTCTTAAGTGACATCCGAATCTCCAATGGAGATTCTTAGCATTTCCTGCCACGCCGCCACGCTATAGTTGCCACGCTTGACGAGCGGGTTGGCGGGTTGTTATCAAAAAGATGCTGCTGTCCATCTTCTGCCTCAGTTTCCCTCTGTCGCCTCTTACGACACCTACGGGAAAATATGGGGTAGTGGGTATTCATACCCGCCACTGCACGGGAATGTAAATCACAAATTTTAACTATTATTATTAGATTTGGTCCAAGTCAAAATAAATTATACTAAACAATTACCTTTAATTTTCTTTGCCAATTCCTTTATTATGTCTACATTTTCAAGAATTTCAAATATCCTTCAACTTTGTAGAAAATTTGCTGTTTTGTTTATTTAGGTCCGAGGAATTCTTTCGAGAATCCAAATAAAGTTATAACATTTTTTTAATATTCATTAAATATTATAGCCATAATTTGACAAACTTTTTGCAGTTGTAATTGTTATGATGTTGTTTTTTTTAAATGTGGAAGAGATATCTTTATTAGTGTTCGTATTGCATTTAAATAAAACTAGTTTTTAGTACTACTAGAACTTACTAAACTATTTATAAGTTAATATACGCAATAAAATCCATAAAAACTAGTTTTATTCAAATGTGTAGTATTCGCGTAAATATAATTAATGATTACGTCGCACGTTTAATCAAACATAGAAATAACTCAAAAATCATGTTTTTTGGCTACGGCTGTTTAAAGTTTTGCACTTACGCAGGTCGAAGTTTGATGATCTGTAAAAAAAAATTTTAAAGTATTTTATGTATTCGAATTGATTTTATTGAAAATTTAGTTCATTAAGATTTGCTGGCATATGCGAAAAATAACAATTTACTGATGATTGACTTATAAATAGTTGATAGAAAAAAAAGTTCCGACTTAATGCACTTTATGTTTAAATGAAATTATGTGATTCTAGAACAAGTTCATCATAATACATAATAATCCTGTTTATCTCTAAAAAATAAATAAATCATATGGGCTTATTTGACTATATTACATTGTTTTATTAATGAAGTTGGATTATTATTGTAGGAATACCAACCATTTCCTTTTTATTTAAAATATCTAGAAAATTGTTGTAAATATTTTTAAAATAAAAAAGCATAAACATAATTTATTATCCTTTTATTTATTTAAAAATAAACCTCCAAAATTAATTAAAACTTCAAAACAAATGAATAAAAAACGATAAACTTATTCTTAATCTTGACACTCTCAAATCAGTCTTATAATTGTTAAGTAACTAAAATAACCTTGGAATCAATCTTAATCAAAGTCAGAAAATGTTTACATGAAAAATAACTTTTATAAAGGATTTAATAGTTTATACGCATTTAAAATAAACAACAAAAACGTATTAACATATCAGGTTCTCTATTACCTTCCTTTTAAACTTGGTACAAAAAGGTAATTATTTTTTAACAAAATCTAAAAATTAAACTTATAAAAACTGAAAAAAAAAACAAGTAAGTAGAAACACAGAAAGGAGATCCATTAAGTTCAATTAATTATTGGATTATAGAAGTAGGCATAGAAAGGAGGAATTAATCCTTTATTAATAAGCTCTGCCAAGTCCTTTTTTTGTTTGCACTTTTATCTTGTCTTCGGTCGTAAGCTTTTTTGAAAAGTAATTTCTTGGATATTCTTCATCTTTTTTCTTTTATTTCTTACATCAATTTCTTGGAAGCAATCATCTTTATAAGAGTTTTTGTAAAAAATACTAAACGGTTTCTCCTTTTTCATTATCAATACTTTTATATCGTTCCAATTAACTGAAACTCCATCCACATTTGTATTATAATTATAACCCCATTCCTCCTGCAAAAGTTTTAGATCCGTAATTAGATGAGGAAGGCTTCAAAAGTTAGTTCATGGACGTTTATGGCTGGTTTACTTTTCTTAGCATTTTTTATCAATGTCACATATTGATCTGGGGTGTAAATTGGTCCTGATTTCAAATTTTTCTTTATTTCCTTTTCAATCAAAGAATGAACGCTGTCAGCTTCGTTATGGGTGTGCCCACGAATTAAAAATTTGTGTGTTATGCTTCTTATATTTAACGTTTTCACAGCATGTAGGTACAAAGTTGCTATATACTTATTTTTATTTTGCCCACAGCAATTGTCTGAGTAGAATGTTATGCTTTTCTCTTCAGTGCTTTCTTGAATGAATAATCTTTCAAGGTATTTCCATATACAGCTTCCTATCTCATTTGCTCCACGTTTAGCTTCTGCTTCCGTCCAAAAATAGCAGTGCACTTTATCATATGCTGTTTTTTAATTTAATTCAGTCAATTCAGTTATGGTAAGATTGTAACTGTTAAGTTTCGATTTATAGTAGAATGAGAAGGTGTCACCTCTAGGACATTGGAGTACTGCCTCTAAATCGTAAATTGCTACTATATTATTTTTAGTCACTTTTATGCGGTCTTCTTGTTTTTCAGTTCTACTTAAAGTCTTTTCTTCTATATGTTTATTATATTTCTCTTCTAGTTCTTTTGCTTTCTCTTTGCTACTATTATTATATGCTAAACATAAATCACATTGATCCTTTTTTTGGTTGGAAAAATGACAATTTAAATTCTGTAGTAAATATCTTGTAATATGCTATATAATTTCCTATCTCCTTATTATTTTCTTTCTGCTGTACTACAAAATCGTTATACAAATCTTTTATATTTTTTCCTCCATCTATATATTCTTTAGAAGTACTAGCTCTGAGGTAATGCGATTCGATTTTAGGAATAGACTGAATATGTTTCCTGATGTCGTCGACTAGTTTTGGATCAAGAGTTTTGTGGCTGTTGTGTTTTCCTCTTAAGTCTTCAAGCATGAAACCACCGTCACTGACCTTATTTTGTATTGTAAAAATCATGCGATCCGAAATATCTAATGTTGCTTTTAAAAAAGTTTTACATACTCTTATTTTGTTAGAATTAACGCAAAAATAATAAGCTTTATTAGGACGCCTTGGGTTTTTAGCATTTGTGTACTTATATTTTGGCACAATATCAACCATACAACCATTAATATAATTTCTTTGTTTGGCCACATCCCCTAAGTCCCAAAATTCTTTGAATATGTCATATCTTTGATTATTTGATATATTTTCTACACACTTTAATTTACACTTGTCTGTACATGGAATTTTAAAACAGCGACTGGGAACAACTTTATGTGACCTTGTAGTAACATACGATTCACCAGTATTTCGTAGTTTTTTAGCTTTATTTTGTTTCCACTTCGCAGGATTTCTAGTTCACCTTCGGCCTCTTTTATTAGCGATCTTTTTTTGAGTAGAACCATTTAAATCCGAAGAACTGGTATCACTGTCACTGTTGATAGAAGTAGTAGGAAAAAAGGTAATTGGAGTTCCTTTTATGATTTTTTTCTGTCTCATATTTGAAAGTAGGGTCATCATCACTCAAATCTACACTGTCACTTACATCAGTATAAACTGGTGAAATATTAATAGATTTATTAGAAGAGGGACATCTCTGAGGTCTCAACTGAATGTTGTCTGAGTCGCAACATTCACTGGCCATAACTGCTACTGTTTTGCGGTTTTCAGGTTCTTCTTCTGTTTTCGAAGATGAAGAATCATCTGAATCTGAGGAAGTTCCAGAAGAAGAAGAACTAGATGATGATGAACTTGTACTTGTTGAACTCGAGGATGATTGCGGTTGTGTTTTTTTGTTATGTCTTGTAGAACTCCAATGCATTCCAAGTTATTGTAATCATCGCTGTCATAGTCTGGCACAAGGCTTGTTGGCAATCTCTTTTCATCAGTGTCAAAAGATTTATTTTCTATGTTTCTAGAACTAATCAACCGGGAATCAATTTTTTGGCTAAAATGCAGATGATCGTCTGCATTTTCTGATAATATTTCATCGCAGCTGCTAACTAACGATATTTCCAACTTTTTATGATCGTCAGATTGTACCTGTCCATCAGTAGATCGTAGATCGGTAAGATTTTTATTTGGTGGGAGATTTTCTATGTTCTCACTTGGTATATTGTTTAGGTCTTCTACAGTAGCGTTATGAGTTTCAGCTACTGGTTTAACTTCATGACTTTGCAAAGATAACGAAGAACTCGATGATACTAATTCTAGTATTTTATGTGCCCTCCGAGACGCCATTCTGTATAAAAAAAATTATTTTAAATAAACACTTTAAATATTTTTTAAACATTTTTTTTTAAATAAAGCCGTTTTACTGAACTAGCCTAAAGGACAGTGAATACGATTATAGGTCCACCCGCGTGGCATCCCTACAATAAAATACAGGATAGAACAATAATTAAAACGACCTTGTTATTTTGATTGATCATCAAGAAGTAAGAATATTAAAGTCGTTATGTATTTGTATTTAACTTAAATTATTTAAAAATATAATTAAATTATATTATTATTATTATCATTATAAAACTGATACGATACTGATGGTCATTACGACAGTGGTTATTATACAATTTAATTTGTAATACTGTTGAACCTGATTAATAATAAGTTATAATTTTACTTTGAAAGAGAAATAACTTATAATGCAAAAATAATGTTGAGGACTTTTTTAAAATAAACAGGAATAATTAAAATTTAATTTCATATTTAAAGCGTTATTTTATACTAAACTGGAGTAATTTTATTTGTTCTATAAATAAACTAAATATTTTAAAAATGAAACTGAAATAACTAGTATTCATTCATACGATTTATTATTAGATTAAGAACTAAACTGTAATAACACGAAATAGGATCAGTGAAACTCAAACAAATTTTTGTAATAAAGTGAAATAAGTCCGAATAGTACCGCTATACGAATAAATAAAACCAGGAAAATTACCCACCTGTTAATAATGCATAGAATTATTTCGGCTTATTGCATTATTCAATTGACTGAAACGAGATCCTAGTCTCTAGACCACTGACACAAGACTGAATATCTCTGTTTATTGGTTTCAACCTGTCAGGACGCGTTAATCAGAAAGAGAGGGACGACCTTCCATTTCGCTCAGATTTTTTCAATTCGAACGGCTGTTTGAGCGCGCGTGTTCTTTGCGTTGAGTTATTGCGTTTTATGATTAAATCTCAGAATAACCGATTTTGAGTTATTTCTATGTTTGATTAAACGTGCGACGTATTGCATTCAGTTTTATACATAGACAAGTATAGATTTTAATAAACTTTACCCGTGTATCGTCGGTGTAACATTACGCCGTATTATTCCGTGGGTGTCGTAAGCGGCGACACGACAGTGGGAAATGAAAGAAAGGATGGGCAGCAGTATATTTCTGAAAACGACTTAAAATAATAAAAAAACTGCAGTTTTTTTTCAGCAGTGGACTCTTGACAAGCTATAATGATGATGATGATGAAGTATAGAATATAAGAAGTTATACATATAATTTATCCTCAAAAGTATATCAACAACATGTTTCCATAACCAGCGAGGGTTGGAAATCTGATATATTTTCTTTTCCGTTAATCAAAAGGCACATTAAAGGCATTCATTATATAAGAGAGCGTTAAGACTTCAAAGGTAAAATGCTCCAATAGCCAGATGTCTAATCGATGAAGACGACAGACCTTAATTATGAGTATTATGCGTTGGAGAGTAATACCAAAAAGGGTTATCTTTCTATTCAGGATCTAGATGTAATCGATCTTACTCATAAAATTTACATCAAAGAAATATTTAAGTTGCTCTTTCTTATTTTACTACAATAGAAAGAGAAAATTATGGAGATTTAAAAAAAAACACTTTACCTCCTTACTATGATTTTCTCCTGTATCGCGGGGGCAGTTAACATACATAAATTTTACAAGGACAAACGTTCAGATCCGGAACAATTATTTGTCAGCCATATAAATACTTGTTCCATAAGGGATTCCAACCCGCGGCCATAAGCGCTGCAACACATTGCTTATTGCAACGCACTGCGTTAAGGAGCCGTCAATAATTATATTTAAGTACGTGGTTATCAACGATTATAAATAAGGTCGAATGTCGTAAATTAGTGTCGCTAAGCATTACTACAACAAAATTTATATTGGGTAGTAAACTAAACATCTGTAGTTAAAACACTACAAAACATTTATTGAATAAAACTATTATTTACGGATTTTATCGCGTTTAATTACTTTAATTTATTTTTATTATCCCGAAGTTTCAGGTGCTTTACAGCGCCCATGGTCACGGGGGTGACAATCCAGTCCGCAGCAAAGGGAAATCTCCTAAGCTTCAAGTTAAATGGGAATATAGTACCAGATTGTGGCAAGGATTAATGACATAACCTACCGGATACAAAAAGTGCAAGATGTACTCCTAAGATCGTCCATGTGGATCGATTGACGCGTTATTATGGGGCCGATAATGCTCAGGACGAGCTTGTATTAGGAGGGGGCAGTGTTGCGCGTTATGATTAATGCCACTAGCGCCATCTAGTATTGCGTAGCAGAACTAGGAGAGTTTTCTAGAAAATTCTATTCTAGAATTTTCTACTAGCGCCGTCTAGTATCGAGTGCCAGAACTAGGAGAGAACTTTCTACACTTAGTCGGTTGGGACCGGTATGTGCTCAATCATTCCAGAAGTTTCAGTGGAAAAGACGAATAAAGAGCGCAACAGAGTCAGGATTGAATTGGCAATATAAGTGAATACTTTGAAGCAATATAATTGCGAACTAAGTGTTAAGTGTGATTAATTATTAGTGTTTTTTAGGTTGTAATTGGTGTTCTGTAATTGAAATATCAATTTTGGTAATTCAATCGGCAGTTTTTATTGTTACTAACTCTTAGCTCGTAACGTTATCATATATACAAGTTATAATATAATTTACCCTTCAAGGTTTTTGTAATTGAAATGTTCATTTAAGGAATGTAATAAAGCATATGGCAAATATTAAACACAACAGATAACACCACAAATTAAATATCATATATAGAGAAACTCTTTGAAGAAAAGTAGACAAATCGGTATGGTGGTGGCGTAAGAATATCCAATATTCCATATCATCTCTTGGGTCAAGACAACATTGGACCAAACATCGGCAGCATATTTATGACAACAATAAAAAAAAATAAAAATGATGTTACCTAATTTCTTTTAAGTAACCTGAACACACACTAGTATTTTCAACTGTATCATGAAGGCAGTATAAAATAATATAAATAGTGCACGGATAATCGTCCAAATCCGAAACAATTATTGTAATAAAATATACGCACTGTTCAGCCATGAGGTCTTACATATAACGTTTTAATTGACTTCAAAATAGAAGGAAATTTGACACTATATCATCGTAAGTTGTGAACGGATTTAATGATTATTTTCTTTTAATAGAATTACAAATGGTCCCGTTTAAATTTGGAGAAGAATTTCGCCCCCTAACAGTGAAAAATAGGGATGAAATTTTTGGTGTAACTTTTAAGACAGCATTTTATACCGTAAGTGGAAATGTTTAATGTTAATAGTTATGAAAAAATTTTGCTCGTAAAATTGTAACTAATAAAATACTAGTAAAATAAAACTCCATCCAAATACTAAAAAAGAATAAAATAATTTCCAATTAATGCAGAAGCTATCAAATTGTTTGGAATTGTTATGTTATTCAATTTTGTTATTAAAATTCTGTTTTTAAAACTTTCAAACCTTTAATTTTAAGTTATGATAACAATCTTCATCATTGCTAGAACTTGTTTTTGCTCTCAGTTGCTTGTTCATATATTAAACTGCTTCTGTCTATCTAAATATGTAATATTTAAATTCTTTCAGCCATTTACCTAAGTCGGCTTCAATGACTCGCACGAGACGAAATAATTGATTGATGATAATTGATTAATTTAAGATATCCAAATTCTGTCTTATTTTTCTGCATCAGACTCTAAAAATTGTTTACATGGTAGAGCTATAATTTAGCCATATTATAGTTGTAATACGAATGGGGTGGCTTGACCAAGAAAGGACCACGCTCTCAAGTATGCAAGCGTGAAATACTAGCCTTATGCTGCTTTATTTCGTATGGTGAGGATAGAGAACCGTAAATTGCTTTTAACTGGTAACGGGAAAACCTTTCATCTTACTTTTCAGGGGTGACAGTATAATACAAAAAAATCTGATTTTATTACAATTTCCGAAGCTTGTAAAAATAATTAAAAAAAACATGTAAGATATAATTTGAATAAACAACGCCATACGCAGCGTGAAGCTTTTCACTTCTATAGCTCCTTTGAAAAGCACTCCGAAAATTGAACATGAAACAGTCACATTATACGCGCAAGTTACCGTAAATTTTGTTGTGGGAATGATAACGCCTCTGCTTAATTCCCTTTATAATTTAATTTATATCCTTATATTTTTAACTTCCCGCTATGAATATCAATGATGTTCAAAAAATGGGGAAGTTATTGTTTATGCGATGAGGTGCGTGTGTGCGTGCGTCCGTGCATGCGCGCGTGCTGGCGTGCCTGCGTGTTTGCGTGTGTGCATATGTGCGTACGTGCCTGAATGCGTGCGCGCGCGCGCGTGTGTGTGTGTGTGTGTGTGTGTGTGTGTGTGTGTGTGTGTGTATGTGTGTGTGTGGAGAGAGAGAGAGAGAGAGAGAGAGAGAGTGTATGCGTGTGCATGTGCGTGTCCGTGTGCGTGGGCGTGTGCGTGGGTATATACGTGGGCGTGGGAGTGGGCGGTGGTAAACATGTAAACATTTTATAACTTTGTTACTGAGTGTTCAGTTAAAAAGCTGTTTTCAAAATCTTAGAAAGCTTTGCTGAACTTAGATTTTCTGTGAATTTAGACCGAATCGTCACGGTAGCATCTGAGAAAATTTCAAAAATTATTTTTTTTTTAATTTTCAAAAAGTACTTTTTTTGGAAATACTTCGATACCCTGGTAATGATAAGTTCTATAAGTTATTAAACTCTTCTACTCAAAAACGACGTCAATTGCCGTGAACCGCATCAAAATCGGTTGATTTGTTCGAGAGATATCGTTGTCGAAAGAAATTTCTTAAAAGTGTTCTTTCAAAATAACTTGAAAGCTTTCTGTAAAATTAATTATTTTTTGAAATGGGCTTTTTTGTATAGCTCAAAAATTGTGTCGATGGCTGCAAATCACATGAAAATCAACCGGATTTGGTCGTAAAATTTAAATTTCGATAAAAATAAAAATAAACTGGTTTTCCAAAATTAAGTGGAATTTGGAGCGCTTTAGAGACTCTTTAGTGTATTGAATTAACGGCTTCTAATTTATAGTGGTTTACATAAGTACCTTTAATAAGACTTTATCTGAATAAAAGTAACATATGTGGTTCTGCAATCAGTCAATATAACTAGTTGATGGCCATATTACCGTCGTATATATTTTATTGATTTATAAATATGATTTCGAGTAATTCATGGAAAATGAATGCTATAACAGGGGCATTAGAAGAAAATTATCGAAAGAGTTCCACAGAATTACGAAGACAACGGGGGGGGGGGAGGGGGACAGAGATTTTTGACGTCGCAATGCCATAGTTAACCCGGTTACATTCAGTGTTTGAATATTAATTTTTGGTCCGATATACGCAGAACAAGCTTAGCTCAATTTATTTATTAAAAACATAAAAGATTTTTAACATTGATATGATCACTATAAGATGTTGTTAGGTTATCTAATTACGTAATAACTTAAAACAGAAGGAACACTCAGTAGGGACTAAATAAATTTACCGACTTGGTATTACATGGATCTCACAATTTTTTACGGTAGAAGAACTGAATTGTGAGACTAGGTTTTTTTTTACAAGTTATGTTATTGTTGGCGACGCGCCTATAAAAATGTTTCAGTTTATTAAATCAACCGATGACGTTGCTATGAAAAAAGGGGTAGTCACGAGCAACGACGCTCTGATAAGAGAATGCTTAGTTAAATCTTTAAGAAATGTCGAATTAATGATATGAAGGTCTTGGGTTCGACTCCCAGGCCGGACTAGTTTGTTTGTTTTCCTAAGTAATATCGCTTAATAAATTCGTAAGGAATTTAAGATATAAATTATGTTACCGGATTTGTTCCCCGGTTGAAATCATCTTTCAAATGATGTAAATTCATAAGAATATTAAAGTGAAGTTAAAGATCGGATTTGTTCCCCGGTCGAGATAATCACTCTGTGCATAGGCAGAATTAATGGATATTAATTGCATAAATGTTGTTTTGTATAAGTTTGATACGTTTTGTACGAAAACAAATGCCTATTTGTTATGATTGATTAATGAGAACATTCATTTATATTGTTATCTGATTAAAGATAGTTTCATACAGTTCGAAAATTGTATAAAAGCATTTAATTTGCCTAATGTGGTCAAAATTGGTGTATTTCATAATTTAATTTTTTCTGATAGCCGAGAGCCGTGCAAAGTTAGTTGTTCACATAGCGTGAGTACACGGAAGCACGCTGGCCACGCCCTTAGGAGGCCGAATATGTAAAAATTTAAAATGTTTGTAATTCAGTGATTTATGTAAAAATTACTTGTAAAATATTTCAGGTTAATTGTACGTGCTAAAAAAGGTAAATTCTGTGTTATTTTCATGTGAAAATTCCTGTGTATAAGTGAAATAATGATAGTTTTGTATAAGAAATTTAAAAGTGTTTTAAATAGTGAAATAAATAGAAAAAATGTAAATTAAACTATTGTATTGGTTAGCTTATGTATAAATTCAAGTGAGAAACATTGTTTTAACTTTCTGTGTTAAATATTTAAGAAATTTCGATTTCGAACTTGTGAGTAAAATAGGCAGTTTTCGTTTAATAAATAAAAGGTTTTTTATGATATGAAGATATGATGTATATCATGGTGTAGATATTGTTTTGTACTACCTATATTGATAAATTGTATTTGTATATGATTTGAATAAATAAAGATATTGAGTGAAACGTGAGAGAGTAATAGTACAAATTCATGTAATTAAGTTGCGCAAGCGCGCAGATGGCGCGGCTCACTTTCGCGTTTAGCTTAGGGGTAGGATAGTAAATTGATTTTATTGCAATTCGTTCGGGAATGGTTCGGGAAATATTCAAGGAAATCGTTCGGGAATCGTTCGGGAATGGTTCGGGAAATATTCAAGGAAATAGTTCGGGAATCGTTCGGGAATGGTTCGGGAAATATTCAAGGAAATCGTTCGGGAATCGTTCGGGAAATATTCAAGGAAATAGTTCGGAAATAAATAAGAAAATCCGGGAAAAAGTTCAAGAAAAGTGAAAAACCAGCAGTATAGGGAAAAGTGATTACTCTCTCACGGAACGGTTTGAAGATAATTGCTGTTTCATTCCCAAGATCCTTTAAGTTATACAGTCCACATCGAAGAATTAAGGCGTCGGGACCGGGACGACTTCGGAAGACCCGTAATCCCCGTCTGAACCTACTTGCTGAAAAGGAAGAGGTTATCGCCCTAGTGTGTTACTCCGTTGCGGAGATCACATACGTTGTTCCCGAACCCAACGTAGGCGTGATAGGAGGCCGGATCGAGAGAAGCCTCGATTCCTGTTTCTTAGTACCCGATCCGCTAGGTCCTTTTCAATTGGTCCTTTTCAGGATCAAGAGGGACACCGACCTGGTCCTTTTCAATTGGTCCTTCGAGCCGGATTGAAGACCACCCGAACCCCGCCAGCTGGATCAAGGAACCAGCTGTGGACTGCTGGTTGTGGAAGAAGAAGACCTTCGGAAGCCGAGTGAAGATCAGCAACCGAAGGAAGCCAGAGGTTTGAGCTGAAGCAATAGGACCAAAGGCCTGAAGACCAGGACGGCAGCACTGAAGGGCTGGACCTGGAACTACCGGAAGAAAGAAAACCGGGATTGCAGCTTGGGGCGTGTGCTCGCATGGGGCACATATCGCAGCCGGGCGCAGGTGTCTTGTGAAGGCACTCATCGTGGCCAAGCAGGGCTTGGCATTTTTCCTGTCGGGCAAGCGTGCTCGGCATTTCCTGTCAGACGATCGTGTCTGGCATTTCCTGTCAGACGATCGTGTCTGGCATTTCCTGTCGGACGACCGTGTCCGGCATTTCCCGTCGGGTCATCAGGGTGCAAAAAGCATCCACCGCTGCTGCTGCCGGGCGAGGGTGCGCGTGGGCACCTGACTGCATCGCGGCCGGAGGAGGGCGCTTGGACGAGGCGTCACCGGCAACTGGGCGGCGAGCACAGCATACATCCCGACCACCTAACGGTGCCAAACGGTTGGGCTCTGGCATAACACCTTCGGGTGGAGCAGTTCTCTCGAGCGAGACTGCGCTTGCACTACCGCTCGACTGTTTCGTCATATTCTTTGGCGGGACAGTTCCTAAACCTTTCCTCCATTCCATTCCTGCACGACTCCATCCCTGGACGGCTCACCTCGGTAGGCCCCGTTCAGGATTGATAGGGCTGATAGGGCTGTTAGGGTGGTAGTAGGGTTGTAGGGTTGGGAGATAAAGGGGGGGAGGGGTAGTGGTGTTAGGTTGGGGTGTAGAAGGGTTGTAGGTAAGGGTTGAGGGTACTGTAGGGACAGTTAGGGACCGTAGGCCAACAATCACCTTCCTGCAAGATGAAGAAGGCACAAGACCAGACAGGGAGAAGCGAAGGGAGCAGGACAAGGACAGGGCTCTCAAGAAAAGCTAAAGAAGCGGAATCATCTGGAGCGACCACAGCTACTGCGTCAAATGGAGCAACTCCTTCAAGTGGAGCCACCACAGACACGTCCACATGCACGTGGGACTCAGGGACGTCCATGGCAACGACGAGCAACAGGACGGACACCAGTGGTACGCAGGCCAGCACCGCACAACAATCCGTTATATCCAGGAGTGAAACGGTGGTCGAAAAAGTAGGTCAAAGGACCGAAGAAGCGGCATCGTCAAGGACAGTAATCGGGCACACTAGTGATAAAGGGTCACAGAGAGGTAGTAGGTCATCGCGATCGGCGAGGCTGAAAGCCGAATTAGAGGCGCGGATTAAATTCGAACGCTCAGAGCTCGAACGAGCACAGGCAGCTGCTGCCTTAGCCAAGTCTCAATTGGAGTTGGCACGACTCAACCGAGAAGAGGAAATCGACTCGAGTGAGGATGATGAAGAGCGGAATACTCAGGTGGAACCTTTCGTAAGGAGTTGGGTTCAGCAAACCATAATGAGCGCGCCGGTTAGTGTAGCACAACCCGATATTACTGATAAGGAAGCGTGTAAAGGATCACGCCGCAAAGGGGCGGAGGTCGAGCGCAACCTAGGAAATGCACAGAAAACACACGCGAGTGAGGTGTCAGAATTGACCGAAGCGATTGTGAGTGCAATAAAAATAGCTGGTAAAGATAAATCTTCCCAGCTTCATTTCCTCCAGGAATTACCGGTGTTCGATGGAGACCCGGGTGAATGGATAATTTTCAAAACGGTGTTTGAAGACACAAAAGGCCAATTTTCAGGGGTGCAAAATGTCGCACGCCTTAGGAGGGCATTAAAGGGCACCGCTAAAGAGGCGGTTAAGTCGCTGTTATTTACTTTATGTGAACCTGAAGAAATAATGAACGCTCTCGAAAGAAGATTCGGTAGGGTTGAGATGCTCATTCTAGCCGAAATCGAGAATGTAAAGCGTATGCCAAGATTGGCAGAAGATTGCCGAAATATAGGATCTTTTGCAAGTCGTATTACGAACGTGGTTGCCACAATACAAGCGTTGAATCAACCACAGTATTTATACTCACCGGAGTTAGTGAGCCGCATAGTGGAGAAACTTGGAACTATGATTAAATTTAAATGGTTTGAATATCGAGCTCAATATCCTTTGGAGCCAGAGTTACAGAAGATGGCCAAGTTTTTAAATTTATTGAGTGAACAATTTGGAACGTCCTTAAGCAATGAAAATGCGCCTGAAAAAAGGAAGCGTCCTGAATTCAGGAAGCAAACTGTACACACTGCAAAGGGAGGTGTACGCAGCTGTGCCGAGAGCGAGCGCTATATGCGCCGAAGTAATATGAGCGAGCGTTTAGAACGCCGAAATAATAAAAGGCACAACCGACAAGTGGTTATGATAACCCAGGACAAGCCTGTAAGTCGGGTAACACATAAGTGTGTTATATGCAACAAGGAGCACTCTATAGTGAGTTGTTACAAGTTTAAGGACATGAATATTCGCGAGAAATGGGAAGCCGTCAAAAAGGCCAAAGTATGTTTCCAATGTTTGTCACCTAACCATAGGAGGTTAGAGTGCAAAGCGAAAAAATGTGGTGTAGAAGGATGTAGAATGTCACATCATCGAATGCTACACCGATACCCCAATGAAAATACCTCGCCACAAGGGGACGAGGGGGGGTAAAGATGCTCAGATTACAACTGTTAGTACAGTAAATGCACTGGCATGTGCATATTTAAAGATCATACCGGTCGAGTTGCATGGGCCTAGAGGAAAGGTCAGGACAACAGCTCTTCTGGATGAGGGATCGACCATGACACTCATAGAGGAGTGGATGGCTCAGAAGTTAGCGCCTCGCGGACGTAAAGAGGGATTACGTATCGAAGCCGTGGGAGGTAAGCGAATTAACGACGATAGTTCGTATCGCTTAAACGTTAAAATAAAAGGCATTTATTCGAGCGACTTAGAAGAGATAAGTGTACAAACAATTAAGTCACTTAACCTCGCTCCTCAGTCGGTAAGCCGAGAATTATTGCAACGGTGTTCTCATTTGACACCGATCAAGGATGAGTTGATGTATGAGAGGTCCAAGCCTACCATATTGATTGGTCAGGACAATTGGCATCTCATAGTTACTCGTGAATTGGTTTCGGGAGGTAAGAACCTACCTGTAGCATCGCTCACCAAACTGGGGTGGGTTTTGCATGGTCACATATCGGGTGGCATTAAACCAATCAAGATTGTTAACCACATTTCCACCAAGAAGGAGGAAGATATGGATAAATTAATCAAGGATTATTTTAGTTTGGAATCTCTGGGAGTATCGGCTAGAAAGCCCGTGAACGACCCAGAAGAACGAGCTTTAAATATTTTGAACAAAACGGTACGTCGTATACCTAATAATAGGTACGAGACTGCTTTGTTATGGCGCACAGACAATGAGTGCTTGCCATCGAATAGGGCACAGGTTGAAAGTCGCCTGTTTAATATTGAGAAAAAGCTCGACAAAAATAGCGAGTTGAAAAAGGAATACGAGAAGCAAATTGAAAATCTCATCGTTAACGGTTACGCAGAGAAAGCGAACCATATTTCCATTTCCCCACGTACGTGGTACCTTCCCTCACTTCGCAGTGACTCACCCACAAAAGAAGAAAATAAGGATAGTTTTCGACGCCGCCGCAAGGACGGGCGGACGTTGTCTTAACGATGCGTTGTTGACCGGACCGGACTTATTGAAGTCGTTGTTCGGAGTTCTGCTACGATTCAGAGAAGGAAGCGTGGCAGTAATGGCAGACATTAAGGAAATGTTCCTGCAAGTGAAAATCCGGGAAGAAGACAGGGATAGCCTTCGATTCTTATGGCGGCACAATCGTGACGCGCCACCGGAAGAGTATAGAATGACGTCACTCATATTTGGAGCGGCATCATCACCATGCATCGCTATATATGTAAAGAATAGAAATGCGCAGGACAACGCACATATCTATCCAGAAGCAGCTTCCGCTACGGAAAGCAATTTTTATATGGATGATTACCTACAGGCATTTCCCGACGTGACGACGGCCGAAAGGATAGTAAACGATATGTATGAATTACATAAGCATGCTTCTTTCCAACTGAGGGGATGGGCTAGCAACCGACCCGAAGTTTTAAGTAATATGGAAAATAAATATAAGAGCGACAGTGCTTCGCTTGGAGATAAAGAGCACACAGAGCGCACGTTAGGTTTGATTTGGAATATCAAACGGGATATAATAAGTTTTTCCACAAGTCTTCGTAGCACACCGGAAGAGGTGATGGAGGGTTTACGACCGCCTACGAAGAGGGAGATAACTAGCGCTGTGATGTCAGTCTTCGATCCTTTGGGACTCGCATCACCCATAACGATTCAAGGGAAGTCGCTGATCCAGCAAGTATGGAGGACAGGCATCTCTTGGGATGAAGAAGTTTCACACGAGTTACACGTGTTATTTTGTAAATGGATATCGGAAGTGAAGAAATTAGGTCACTTAGAAGTACCTAGACCCGTTGCTGAAGGCATCGGCAAAGGAGAGTTACATACTTTCACGGATGCTAGTGAAAAAGCATACGCTGCCGCGGTGTATTACGTCATCACGGACGAGCAAGGAATAAGGCGGATTACGCTGATCGCCGCAAAGGCAAGAGTAGCGCCATTGAAACCAATTTCGATTCCAAGGCTTGAATTGCAAGCAGCTCTTATGGGCAGCAGACTGGCTGCTTCGGTTAGTGAAGAGAGCAAGTACGAGATGTCCGAGAGAGTGTTTTGGACAGACTCACGTACAGTGTTAGCGTGGATTAAGTCGGATCCTCGCGCTTTTAAACCATTCGTTGCTCATCGATTGGCTGAGATCGAAGATCACAGTAAGCCATGTGAATGGCGATGGGTTCCAACGTCACAAAACGTGGCAGACGACGCCACTAGAAATTTTCCTTCCACCTTCGATGTAAGTCATCGCTGGTTTCAAGGACCTGAATTCCTCAGGAAAAGTCCTGATTTATGGCCCAAACAAGTGGACACCATAAATAGCTTAGAAACAGGTGAAGAAAAATCGCCAAAGGGCGTAAATACGTTAAGAAAGCAAGAACCGTTAAGTCTACCCGACTACGGACGATTTAGCAGCTTTAAGAAATTCCTTGGAGCAACTACACGCACCTTACAAGCGGTAGAAAAATTCAAGAGTTTAAGAAAGTCGGTTAAAGGACCCGACGACGCAACCGAAAAGTCGGTTATGTGTTCCAACAAAGTTTTAGCAAAGTCGGTTAAAGGACCCGATAGCGCGTTGGACACAGCGCTCTTGAAAAAGGCGGAAATATTAATTTGGAAATTCATTCAAGACGAGTGTTTTCATTCGGAAATAAAATGTTTGAAAGCAGGCAAAAGCGTTGAAAGAAGTTCACGCTTAAGTAAATTATCTATGGAAATAGGAGAGGATAACTTACTCCGTTTAAATGGACGTTTACCTTTCAAGTCTAATTTGACCGAGGAAAGTAGAAAACCTGTCATATTAGACGGTAAACACGAAATCGTTAAAATGATGATTAGAGAAGTTCATCATCATTTTGGACACGCCAATCACCAGACGGTGATGAATGAGGTGAACCAGAAATTTTACGTCTTGAACTTGCGTAATGTAGTACGAAGTGTGTCACACCATTGTCAGTGGTGCAGGACATACAGGTCAAAGCCGCAAAACGTGCCACAAGGAAATATTCCTCTGGAAAGAATAGCTCATCATGAGCCACCTTTTACATGCTCAGCTGTAGATTATTTTGGTCCTATGAGTGTGACTATAGGAAGGCGACACGAAAAACGTTGGGGCGTTTTATTCACGTGTCTGACCACCAGAGCAGTACATCTGGAATTAGCAGCCTCATTGACACCAGCGTCAATGATAATGGCGTTAAGGCGATTTATCGCCAGAAGAGGAAAACCAGCCGTTATATACAGCGATAACGGGACAAATTTCAAAGCTGCAAATAAAGAATTATTGAAAGCATGCGAAGAATGCTATGAGGGCATGAAAAACGAGTCATTTAAGAAATATATTAAATGGAAATTTATACCTCCGGGAGCACCGCACATGGGTGGCGCCTGGGAGAGGTTAGTAAGATCGATTAAAATTGCGTTGACCGCTACGCTTAAGGAGAAGAGCCCACGAGAGGAGGTTCTACATACGTTACTTTTAGAAGCAGAGCATACGGTAAATTCCAGACCTCTGGTAACATTCAGTATGGATAGTCCTGAAGAGGGTTTGACACCCAATCATTTTCTTCTGGGACGCTCATGTGGTGATCGACCACCTGGATTATTTTTAGAGCGACATCTGACGGGTCAACTCAATTGGAAAGCTGCACAGAGGTTAGCCGACCATTTTTGGACAAGATGGCTGAAAGAATACATGCCTACGTTAATACCTCGAACAGGTGATAACGGCAAGTTCATGGAACCTAAAGAAGGCGATATTGTTTTGATAATAGATCATTCGTTGCCACGAAATACGTGGCCAAAAGGTAAAATTAGTAGAACGTTACCGGGACCAGACGGTCACACCAGAGTGGTTGACGTCATTACTAGCACAGGTATCTTGAGGAGACCTACATCCAGAATAATAGTCCTGGTACCCGCGACGCCTCCCAAATGATGGTGCTAACGCACGGGGGGGGAGATTGTTGGCGACGCGCCTATAAAAATGTTTCAGTTTATTAAATCAACCGATGACGTTGCTATGAAAAAAGGGGTAGTCACGAGCAACGACGCTCTGATAAGAGAATGCTTAGTTAAATCTTTAAGAAATGTCGAATTAATGATATGAAGGTCTTGGGTTCGACTCCCAGGCCGGACTAGTTTGTTTGTTTTCCTAAGTAATATCGCTTAATAAATTCGTAAGGAATTTAAGATATAAATTATGTTACCGGATTTGTTCCCCGGTTGAAATCATCTTTCAAATGATGTAAATTCATAAGAATATTAAAGTGAAGTTAAAGATCGGATTTGTTCCCCGGTCGAGATAATCACTCTGTGCATAGGCAGAATTAATGGATATTAATTGCATAAATGTTGTTTTGTATA